TTTATGAAATCTAGATTTTCAGTAAAATACTTGAGATTTTGGTTTTAGTGAACTTGAACACAATATAACCTCTAGTTTTGTGGGTAAAATATAAGAAGGTTTTGGCAAATTAATCTTCTAGGGTTTGTAGAAGTGACCAAAAGGCTTTACAGCTGCCCAGATTTCTTCTTCTAGAAAAAGCGAAGCCAACCAAGCAAGTGTTGTGTGTTTTTTTTTTGTTTTTTTTTTGGTTTTTGTTTTTTTAATGGGTTCAAGGCTGCTATTGCTTTTGGGCATTAAGAAGCATGTAACTCATGAACAGTGCTAGGCCAGTCATGCATGGGCAAAGCACTCCTTTCATTTAGGGCTCATGTACATGGGGCATTTGGAAAACTCTCTTCTGAATGATGGAAACTGCTGGAAAACGTAGGTTAAAGTCAGTTTAGCCACGTTTGCATACCGCATTTATGTGCGTTTGCATTTAGAAGCGTTTTTAAAAGATAACCTCAGGAGACCCTCCCAAATGCCCAGAATGCACTGAAAAATAGTAAAATAACTATTTCAGACATTTTGAGAGGAATAGAGAGAGCAGAAGCAGAAATAGCAGTATGTGTTGAGATTACCTGTCTTTTCTGGTTGTATTCACTATGGATCCCATCATGAGCATAATGCGGCACGTTCTACCATTTTTATTCTTCACGCGAAACCTGGAACTGACTGCGCTGGTGTACCGGGTCCATTTCAATACATGGAAAATGCTTTGCATGCATTTCTGATGAAAAAAAAGTCTGTGGGCAGCATCTGGACATAAAACCGTTAAAAAAAGCTTTTAAACGCGGTTAACTGCGTTTACAAGTGTTTGGCTTTTGAAACGCAGATAAAATCTACTCCTGAACGCATGTTTGGTGCGATCAAAAAAACAACTGTAAACTCAACTGCAAACGACTGTGTACATGGACACCTAGGAAAACATTAGGGAGAGTTCATGGGCTGCTGAAAACAATGCTGAACAGCTCCTGAACGTCAGTTTAGGAGCTGCAGTGTACATGAGCCCTTAAACTACTACTACCTCAAGTGGCCAAAAATATTGTGTATGTAAACCCTAACAGTGAATGTATTTACTCCCTTCTGATAGGGTTTTTGTACTCGCTGTAAAATCCTTCTCTTAATTGTACATCCCAGGACATGACAGTTCATGACTATTTGTGTTATGCTGGCACCTTCAGGTGAATGGACACTGACCAAAAAGAGGCATAATCCCTCCCAGCTCAGCCAAGCCTTAGTGCGCTAGTTTCCGAATGTAAAGATGCTACCCTGAGTCTCTCTGAAGATCTGTTCTTTTTGGGACTTCATTTTTACATCTCTGGTCCGTTCCTTTTCACCCCTACCAGGGCAGCAGTGGACTCCATCTGGATCGGTCATTATGGCCAGCAGGCAAAGAGGGACTGCATCCAGACCCCACATGCAAGACCAAGGATGGCTTTTAATGTTTGCTGTTCACTACCTGAAAGAAGTGTATTTTATGATCTAACTATCTGGGTGCTCTACAGTTGCAGGGCAGCGATATCTTCTGGAGGGGAGCCGAGACCCTGATGGTTGAAGCTTGAGCCTTGCAGTTTTATCTGGGTTGTGGAGGCTTTAGGCAATCTGAGCACTGACAGAATGTGTTTGTTACTTCTGCAGTGCTATACAGTCTGTGGCAGTGTTTAAAAAATGGCAGTCCAGTACTGCCCCTGATATAACCGTAACTGGTTGGATCAAAGATGGAAGCTCCTACACATAACTCAGCTGCCCCATTGGGAAAATAGTAGTAGAGTATTGTGATAATGCCAATCCTAGGTACCAAATAGAATCCACCCAGGGCCCCTGCACCATTCAGTCCACCCTCACAAATACCTGAACACACTGTGTCAAAAAAACCCTGTCGCAATATAAACCCTGTCGCAATATAAACCCTGTCGCAATATAAACCCTGTCGCAATATAAACCCTGTCGCAATATAAACCCTGTCGCAATATAAACCCTGTCGCAATATAAACCCTGTCGCAATATAAACCCTGTCGCAATATAAACCCTGTCGCAATATAAACCCTGTCGCAGTATACCTATTGATTAACATCTTCTGATCCTCTAAATGTTCCAATGCAAATGCAAGCTTTCTGAAACCTGAAACTTTGCATAAGCTTAGGCAAGCCCCTCTCCACAGACAGCTCTTAGCGCAGTGTTGCGAAGACTATATTAACCTGTTACCTTGCCTATCTCTCGGTGTGTACCACTATATAACATGCAGCAGCAGTACTCCATATCTCTAAATGCCCTATCGCACTAATTTTTACACAGTGGCCATAATTCAAAGGTATTTAAGTGGTAAATGTGAATAATAATTTGAATAATGCATATATAAATTAGAATCCATATTTTAACTTCACACAAATCATATGAATTTGTGTCTAACACTTATACCATTAACCCTTTATACCATAAATCATATATTCAACAAGTAAAGCATATGTTGTAGTTAACACAAATATTCACATTCAAACAGTGTACAAAGCACTATGAGTATGATGCGTGTATAGTCAGCCTAATGTCTTTCCCATCTGTCAGATGGCAACCCAAACTGATCTCAGTGTATTATGTTAACGTGGTTCTCTGGGGTATACTGAGATGAGTTTGGGTTGCGGTCTGGTGAACTAGGTGACGCTATGCTGACTTCAATAATTCAATCTCATGCAAGCAAAAAGGTGTGTGTGTGTGGTGTTGTTTGTGTTTTTTTTTTTTTTTGTTTTTTTTTTTTGTTTTGTTTTTTTGTATTGCACGATTGGATATTTAAAGTTAGCACAGCTCCACGTCATTCCCTTTTTTGCAAAGCCAAAATTCATTTTGCAAAGTGAACCTGCTCTGCTCCATTATTACATTAACCCAATTGTTTCTGTGCAAAGTACATGTTAAGCAGTGCTCCAGCAAAGTGGTTGAGAGAAACCGTGTTTACACTTTTTAAATCCTTTATACAGCACAAAAATATTTTGTTATATTGGATTCAGTCAGCCAACTCTTTATCAATTTGAACTTGTTTGGTGTGTGACACTGGAGGAATATTTCATTGATGGTTACATGTGTTTATTTTGTGCAGGTCTCTGGTGGTGGGGCTTTGATGCCTTGCTTGCCATGCTCCCAGCACTCAGGGGATTTACATCATATACAACACAAACAGCCGAAGATCCTATTCCTAGCCTGAAGCCAGTGTCCGATATATATGTATCTGACCATGACAAGAAGGTAACATTTCATCTCTAGTGGCAAAAGCAGATTAAACTCCGGATCATATTGCACCTGTTTTGGTAAAGCCTGCTATTTTATATAGAAGTTGAGCTTGCTTTCTGCTTTACAGCAATAGCAACTAAATGTAGCTCTTGGAGAACAGTGGGCAGTTCTTGGGTAAAGTATATCCTACACAAACTTAAAAGATCTACTTAAGCTCAAAATGTATTTTGTGAGTATAGAAGCAAAAGTAGCAGGTACAATTATATGTTTAGATCAAAAACACACACATAAGAAACCTAAATGATCCTATGAACCTCAGTAATGATTTTATAAATTAGTAAGGTAATGAAATATATATTTAATTGGTTTCTAATACTGAACTCTGTTCAGTGAACTATGAATAGGGAAATCTCTACAGTGCAATACATTTATTGCACTGTATATATTTCCCTATTCATAGTTTGATAGGTTTCAAGGATAAGTTCACCTTTTGGAGCATGTTATATGCTCCAGCTCCGGTAGCCAGTTACACCCTGCACCCAATGTTACAATGCAAAAGCAGGGGAGCTCTGCCCCCTTGGCCATGGCATTTATTCAGTTTCTTGTGAATGCATGAACTACAACTACCATTGGCCAATGTGGCTGATGACTTGTAGTTCTGCATGATCTGAGGACACTGATAAGTGCTCTTATAGGTCATGCAGAAACCCTGCGGCTTGTAAACAGCCAGTATGAAGGTATGGGCTGACAGCTGCAGGGCTTGACTGCAGAAGTCTGACGTTGCACTCCTGATCCACTGATCTGTGCATTATACGCCGGTGCAGATTTTTGAAAGGGCTGTGGGTGAATAAAAACACAACAGTTGTTTGACAAGTCCTTAATTTAAAACAAATTATCCCCCCAAAGTAGATTGTGGTTGATGCATTTTCCTAGTGCATTGTGACAGATGCTCAGTCTGCATAGATGTGAACCTATGTTCCAGCTTAACTAGACACATCTCTAACCCACATACCTACTTCTAGCTCCTGCAGCCACTAACTTTTTTTTTTTTTTTTCAAATTTTGTAGGTGTTACAATAATCCAGCGATGTGCACAGGAGCCTCGGCTGTCTGGGTGTCTCTTTCCTCATTTGGTTGAGAGGTAGCAGTCGAAGCCTTGGGTTCCCACTGCTGTCAATCACAGCCAATGAGGAGGGAATGGGGGGCAGGGCTGAGGCGAGGCGTAGCACGGCTCTGTGTTTCTGTTGAAAATTGTTGAACCATAGCAGGCAAGTGCACTATATTGCCAAAAGTATTGGGATACATTTCCAAATCATTTGATTCAGGTGTTCCAATCACCTCCATGGCCACAGGTGTATAAAATCAGGCACCTAGGCATGCAGACTGCTTCTACAAAGATTTGTGAAAGAATGGGTCGCTCTCAGGAGCTCAATGAATTTAAGTGTTGTACCGTGATAGGTTGCCACCTGTGCAATAAGTCCATCCGTGAAATTTCTTTGCAAATAAATGGCAAACTGTAATAACAAAGTTGAAGCAGCTACTCAGCCACGAAGTGGTAGGCCACTTAAAATAACAGAGCGGGTTCAGCTCATGCTGAAGCGTCAAGTGTGCAGAAGTCACCAACTGTCTGCAGAGTCAATGGTTAAAGACCTCCAAACTTCGTGTGGCCTTCAGATTAGCACAACAGTGCATAGAGGGCTTCATGGAATGGGTTTCCATAGCCGAGCAGCTGCATCCAAGCCTTTCATCACCAGGTGCAATGCAAAGTGCCGGATGCAGTGGTGTAAAGCACGCTGCCACTGGACTCTAGAACAGTGGAGACGTGTTCTCTGGAGTGACCAATCACACTTCTCTGTCTGGCAATCCGATGGATGTTTCTGGGTTTTGCAGTTGCCAGGAGAATGGTACTGGACTGAGTGCATTGTGCCAAATGTAAAGTTTGGTGGAGGGGAGATTATGGTGTGGGGTTGCTTATCAGGGGTAGGGCTGGACCCCTTAGTTCTAGTGAAGGGAATTCTTAAGGCGTCAGTATACCAAGACATTTTGGACAATTTCATGCTCCCAACTTTGTGGGACCAATTTGGGGATGGCCCCTTCCTGTTCCTACGTGACTGCACACCAGTGCACAAATCAAGGCCCATAAAGACATGGATGAGCGAGTTTGGGGTGGAGGAACTTGACTGGCCTGCACAGAGTCCTGACCTCAACCTGACAGAACACCTTTGGGATGAATTGGAGCGAAGACTGCAAGCCAGGCCTTCTCGTCCGACATCAGTGCCTGACCTCACAAATACACTTCTCAAGAATGGTCAAACATTCCCATAGACACACTCCTAAACCTTGTGGACAGCCTTCCCAGAAGAGTTGAAGCTGTTAGTCTGCAGGGTTCAATATTGAGTTGGCCCACCCTTTTCAGCTATAAGACTGGGATGCCATTAAAGTCCATGTGCGTGTAAAGGCTGGTGTCCCAACACTTTTGGCAATATAGTGTATGACGTGTGTTTTGGGGTGTGTTTTTTTTTTTTTTTCTCAAAGATAAAGCTTTATTTTCACTTTAAAAGCACTCCTAGGCCTTATTCACACCTGCGATCTGTGCGATCATCCACACCTGGATGATTGTGGATTTCTGCTGTTGGAATCACAGGTATGAGCACACAGCTGCAGCGTCACTGCTTTTACAAAGCAATGACCGGCTGATGGAAACTGTGGCTGTGTGCTGCTGTTTGCATGTCTGCTCATCCAGCCCTTCCCTGCGGTTAGGGACAGATGATCGGTCCTGGATGCGATCTATCTGTATCCACAACTAGTCATTTTATTTTATAAAGAAACCAGCCCTGCACTGTATCGTTGGTGCACATGCATGTAGATGGGAAAGTGGCCGTAAAGAGGAGGCAAAAGATAGCAGCACTGAGGTGCAGCAAAATTGAAAAAAGTGGAAATCACATTTTAGTTAAAAAAAAAAAGAAAAAAAAAAAAAAAAAGTTTGATACCTGGTGCTCTAGAAAAAATCTAATTCAGTTATGGTTTACATCTATATAATACAAGTTTGTTTGAAATTGCTAGCAGATTCACGTTTAAATAGGGCTCATTATAGGAAAATGGCTTTGACCTTTTTCAGTTTCTCTTTGCCTTTAGTGGTGTGGATCAGGTCATTGGTTATCTAAAAATCTGTTAAAACCTCTTTCAGGAATTGAACTTTCAATATGATGCTCGAATGAAGGAGATGGAAAAACACTTTGGGTTAATAACTGCCCATCATAATCATCATTTGGAAGATTACAAGAAACTGAAACTTCTGGTTGTGGATATTAAAGAACAGATGGGACAGAGAAGTGACCAGGGTCAAATGTCAAGTGTAATTGCCAGCCTTCTCGACGAGAGATTTGCCAAAATGAAGTTGGACTTGCATGAAAAATCTATTGTGAGTATTGTACACTTTACTGAAATGTTAACACAAACTTTATTGGGTTGGTGATTGTAAAGCCGACTTCAGGAACTCTGGGTACTCTGTGATGCAAGATATGACCAACGTCTGTGGCCTTTAAGTGAGGTCTTCCCCCTCCCACTTTGCACACTTTAGTATTGACCCATCACTTTGATGGACAGCTGCACTAACCATTACTAAGGTATATGAGACATTGTTTATCTGGAGCAAGTATCCATGGGAGCTGCTTGGTATTTGGCATTTCCAAGCACAAGCTTTTGGGGATCATATTTATTGGTGGCATGGGTCACAGGTTTACTTTTTTAAGAGGGAAAATCTAACTTGTGTGGCTGCACAGAAAACCCCTGAAGTCCAACCCCAGCTTTGGTACCTGCTGTACTGGATGGTGTACAGAATTAAAATATTCTACACTGTAAAGCTCCTCACAATCTTCAAAACTAGCCGTTCTCAAAGTGGCCTCATTTATACTTCTGGCTGTGATGCCCAGCATCACACAGCCTGTTCCTGTTGGGCTCGGATGTCATGAAGTACCCCCCTCCCTATAGTTCTCAGGATTACAGGTGTTATGTTGTGATGCTGGTATTAATAGCATTCCTGTAATCTTGTGTGAAAGTGAAGTGCCCGCAGACCTTTCCACCTACCCGCACCAGCTTTTATTACTCCAGTGCCTAGAGGGACATGTAGCCTGAGTGATTAAAGTGCAACAGCCATGGACAAAGTAACCACAACTTAAGCAGCTTATTGAAATTATTTATAGGAGAAGAGTGACACACAGACCAGAAGCAAGGGGTTGTGGGGGACAGTGGCACTAAATATTTGGAGTTTGGATAAACTAATAAGAATACTACTGTATCTCGCTGTATATGATTAATTTGTTTTCTATTCAGGATAGGTGGGCTCTCTGGCATATTGTGCATAGAAATACATGGTGCAAACAAGGCCCCTTTCACACATGCGGAACAAACAAGCCCACCTTTAAGTTTTTCAGTTGGACCCAATAGAAAGCTCCATGCAAGTCTGTGGGCAGGTGGATGTAAACAGATGTGCATCCATTTACATCTGCTTACCTCTGAGTCCATTCAAGTCTGGGGGAAAAATGAAACGGTCTGCATCTTTTTCCAATTTTACAAACTTAAACCTGAAAAATTGGAGGTAGCCAATGAATGTGAATGGACATGCATCCAGCATGGATCAGGACAGCCCGTTTTAAAATACACCAGCACAAATGTGAAATCAGTCTCATTCTGCTCAGATTTAGCAGCGGATCTGTTCACACAATCCTCACTGAATAGACTGGATGGTGCCCTTGTGAAAGGCTGCAGTTTAACCCCTTGGCGCCGACAGAACTGGGCTTTTTCCCATGGGGCCTCATATTTGCGTGTCTTTCTTTCTGCTGGCAGCACGCTGCACGATTCTAACGAGCGGGACTCCTGATTCCAGGTCATGTGATCGCCTCTGATAGGCTATCACAGTGATCAGTCACTGTGAAGCCCGCCCCCCTTGTTTGTTTGTTCTCTCCGAATAGAGGAGATACATTGTATCTCTCTCTCCTTGTAGAGAGGGAAAAAAAAACTGTAAAATTTGAAAAAAAGATTAATATTTAACCACTTTGACAACCGGGCTATAGCCAAATGACGGCTTCAGCGGGGTTGTCCAGTTCTGGTAGGGCATTATAGGACGTCCTCCCAGAACGTGCCCTCTCACGCGTCCCCAGCGATCTCCGTGATCGCTGTGTCCTGCGGGCACAGCTGATCAAGTGATGTGGTAACAGGTCAACCACAGCGGCCTTTTACCACATGATCAACTGTGTCCAATGACAGCAGATCACCGGGTAAATGCAGTTGCTGGTTATCAGCTGCACTTTCCTCATGCTGTCACAGCACGAGGAAAATACTGCCGATAACCGGCAATTGTCAGAAAACAAATGATAGAAAATTCATATGGGTACAGTGTTGCATGACCGCGCAATTGTCATTCAAAGTGCAACAGCTCTGAAAATTAGCTTGGGCTAGGAAGGGCGGTTTAAGTGCCCAGTAGGCAAGTGGTTAAAAAAAAAACTTAGATCAGGGGTCTTCAAACAATGGCCCTCCAGATGTTGAAGTACTACAAATCCCATCATGCCTCTGGAGTCTTGCTTGTGGTTGTCAGTCTTGCAAGGCCTCATGGGCCTTGCAGTTCATTTCCTGGAGGACCATATTTTGGAGACCCCTGACCTAGATTTAGTTCAGTGCAAGGGTTAGTGTTTTGGGTCGGGGTCAAAGGTCAGGGTTTTTTTTTTTTTTTTTTTTTTTAATGTGTCAGGTGTGTTTTAGGTAAAAAAAAAAAAAAAACAAAACAAAATGCACACTATTGTTTCTGGGTTGTACTACAGGTACAAATAACATACACATATATGGTATCGCTGCGATTTGTCAAGAGCTGGAAATTTTTATTTTGGGTTGTTCTTTGGTGGTAGGTTATGATAGTAATGAGAAAAAAACGCCACTAAATTTAAAAAAATATTATTTTTTTTACTATCTTGGATAATAAAAAAAGAAAATCGGGGGATACACATTACCATTTATCACCAAATGAAAGCCCAATTTGTCCTGGGAAAAAAAACAAGGTATAATTCACCTGGATGTACAAAGTAGTTGCGATGATATGTACGGTTTTACTAACATGTCAAAGTTTGTAAACTTTTCCTTGGGCGTTAAGATTTGTTTTACCTTAGGTGTGAAGGGGTTAAACTGGTTTCTTCAGTGAACTCACAAACTCCTAATGCATGTATTGAAAATAACCTGGAGACTAAGGCTACGTTCACACTAGTTGTGCAGGTGGCAGAAAGGCGTTTGGGAAGCGTTTTTACCGGTCACCTGGGACAATTCTGCACATTGCAGCACATGGTGCTGTTCTAACGGGAGCGTTAGCGTTGCCTCGCGGCAAAACGGACGCCTCTGGTCGAGTCAGGAGGCGTTGAAGCCTCCTAGTCTATGGCGCCGCTCCACAAACGCCCGGCCAGTGTTTGCAGTGCGGTTGCGGGGCGTTTGCGGAGCGGTAACACCATTCAAACTTCGTTATAGGCGTTTGTAGGGCATTTTTAACGCTCAGCAAACGCCTAGCAACCGCGCATGCAGCGTTTGCCGAGTGTTTAAACACTCCGCAGACGCCGGACCAATGCTTGCCAAACGCTATGTTTGGCAAGAGTTGGTAGAACAGTCAAGTGTGAACGAGCCCTAATTGGAATTGCAAATGGACCTAACCTAAATGGTACGTTTTCTGTCAGTTTTTATTTCAACTGGCGTTTTTTTTAATTAGGCGTTAAATGGCTTTTAGATCCCCCTTTTTAGATGTATATGTAAAATGTTTTTTAAAATGTTTATTTATGTGGTGAGGTAGGCCTATTTGCTCACTGCATGTCAGGTCTGCTTCCTGCTTTGCAGTTCTTTATGGCTGTTTTTTTTTTTTTTTTTTTTTTCACTGCTCTTTCTCAGAATTATACGGCTTTTTGTTTTCACTGCTCTTCCTCAGGATTAGAGTGCACAGACTGATTAAAAACAATGCACTCCCATGTGGCTGACATCTTAAGTAGTTAAAGTAGATGTTTGTGCAAAATATAACCTATTCAGTACATGCAATGCATGTACATTTCCCGGTGTTTTATATTTTTAAAAGTACAGAAAAAAATATCTGATGATCTGCTCGAAATAGTGCTCTTTTAATTTTCTTCTTTGAAGTGACATCAGTGTTTTTGCTGCACCGAAATCAGAAGCAGGGTTTTCAGCCCTCGCCAGTTCTCATTTTTTGGGCTACAAAATCTCTCCCACATCTCCCTTTCTCCTCATCTTTGTTACATAAATTGGCTACTCTGTAGTCTGACAGAGTACTGCCTATGATTTCAATGCAGCAGAGGCACCATGTCGTCAGTCCAGTATAGGAAGTTAGGAACTCGCTGTAATGGGCCTGTTCACACTTGGCTTTATTTCTAACTCTTGCCCAACACGCCTATAGCTTTTGACAGGCGTTTAGACAGGCGTGTTTGAAGTTTTTTTAACGCTCCTCAAACACTCCCAAAATGCCCTATGCATGGTCTTAAGGTGGTTGATAGGCGTTTGCCAAGCCTTAAAACCGCACCACAAACTCCTATAATGAAGTAAAATGGTATTAACGTTCCACAAAACGCCTACCAGGCGTTTGCTGAGCGGCACCATAGACTTGATTAGCTTCAACTCTTCCTGACTAGTCCCGAGGCGTCAGTTTTGCCGCAACGCTAACGCTTCCGTGTGAACAGCACTGTGTGCTGCCATGTGCAGAATTTTCATTCGTTTGGGAAGAGTTTGGAACGCTTCTCAAACGCCTGTCTTTAGTGGCAAATATAGGGGACAGTGAATGTAAGATGTCAAATACATATACAAAATTATGGTTAAACCTTGTGTTAACTCAAAAAAATATTCCAGTTGAAAATACACTGTACTTCTTCCTTTTTAACCACATGCCGCCCAGCCACTGTAGAAATACGGTGGCATGGGCGGGACGGTTGGGAAAAACCACGTTTTAAAACGTGTGTTTTTAAAACGGGTAAGGGGCGCGCACGAGGCGCATTGCCGCCCTACCTGTCCCGCCGATCACAGCCGTGGATGTCAGTCACCGGGTCACAGCCGGCGATCGACCGGTCGATCGGCGGCAATCACTGACAGAGAGCACAGCTGCAGAAGCTGTGCTTTTCTGTCAGTTCCCTGATAGCTCCAGGACACGCTGATCTGGATAGAAGAGTTTCTCTCTCCTGATCAGCAGTGTTCCCTGCAGTACAAACCCCCGCCCCCCTAGTAAAAACACTCCCCTCACACCCTTTTCCCTGAATAATAAACTTAATCCCTTCCTCCCCAGTGCCGTTAGTACTGTGTCAGTGGTTTTTTTTTTTTTTTTTTTTGCACTGATCACTGTATTGGTGTCACTGGGGATGTCAGTGACCCCAAGTCAGTACCTCCCAATGTCAGAATTTCCGCCGCAGTCCTGCCATAAGTCGCTGATTGCCGCCATATAAGTTGCTGATCGCCACCATTATTAGTATAAAAAAAAAATAAAAATCCCAGTATCTTTCCTGCCATTTGTAAACGCTATAACGTTCACATAAACCAGCGGTTCTCAACCTGGGGGTCGCGACCCCTTTGGGGGTCGAACGACACTTTCCCAGGGGGTCGCCTAAGACCATCGGAAAACACATATTTCCGATGGCCTTAGGAACCGAGACACCGCTCCTGTGATCCGTCTGCAGGTGTGGGCGGGGATGACATGCCGTTCCCTGTCATCTGGAGACACACCCCCGGGATCAATCCTTCCTCGTCGGTGATTGGCCGCCGGAACTGTAGCTCAAGAGAGGCACACAGGCGGCCAATCACCGGTGAGGAGGTGGAGCTTGGAAAGGAGGAGCCGAGCGGCACCGCGAAGCACGAGCGAGTGAAGAGGAGGAAAGCGGCCGGAAAGGAAGCCATCTGACCGGTAAGTGTTTGTACCTTGGGAGAGGGAGGGAGCGAGCGAGCCCAGGCTGGAGCAGGGGTCAGCAAGGTAAGTATCATTGGTGTGTCAGTGGGAGGAATACAATCATTTGTGTCACTATTACCAATGATGGGGCACTATTCCTCCCCCCACTGACACCAACGATGGGGCACTATTCCTCCCACTGACACCAACGATGGGGCACTATTCCTCCCCCCACTGACACCAACGATGGGGCACTATTCCTCCCCACTGACACCAACGATGGGGCACTATTCCTCCCCCCACTGACACCAATGATGGGGCACTATTCCTCCCACTGACACCAACGATGGGGCACGTATTCCTCCCCCCACTGACACCAACGATGGGGCACTATTCCTCCCACTGACACCAATGATGGGGCACTATTCCTCCCCCACTGACACCGATGGGGGCATAATCCCCCCACTGACACCAAACGGATGGGGCACTATTCCCCCCACTGACACCAATGATGGGGCACTATTCCTCCCCCCACTGACACCAAGTGATGGGGCACTATTCCTCCCACTGACACACCAATGATGGGGCACTTTTCCTCCCACTGACACCAAGTGGGGCACTATTCCTCCCACTGACCCAGTGATGGGGCACTATTCCTCCCACTGACAGACACCAATGATGGGGCACTATTCCGCCCACTGACACACCAATGCTGGGGCACTATTCCCCCCACTGACACCAACGATGGGGCACTATTCCCCCCACTGACACCAACGATGGGGCACTATTTCCCCCCACTGACACCAACGATGGGGCACTATATCCTCCCCCCACTGACACCAACGATGGGGCACTATTCCTCCCCCCCCACTGACACCAACGATGGGGCACTATTCCTCCCCCCACTGACACCAACGATGGGGCACTATTCCTCCCCCCACTGACACCAACGATGGGGCACTATTCCTCCCCCCACTGACACCAACGATGGGGCACTATTCCTCCCCCCACTGACACCAACGATGGGGCACTATTCCTCCCCCCACTGACACCAACGATGGGCACTATTCCTCCCCCCACTGACACCAACGATGGGGCACTATTCCTCCCCCCCACTGACACCAACGATGGGGCACTATTCCTCCCCCCACCCTGACACCAAAACGATGGGGCACTATTCCTCCCCCCACTGACACCAACGATGGGGCACTATTCCTCCCCCCACTGACACCAACGATGGGGCACTATTCCTCCCCCCACTGACACCAACGATGGGGCACTATTCCTCCCCCCACTGACACCAACGATGGGGCACTATTCCTCCCCCCACTGACACCAACGATGGGGCACTATTCCTCCCCCCACTGACACCAACGATGGGGGCACTATTCCCCCCACTGACACCAACGATGGGGCACTATTCCTCCCCCCCCCACTGACACCAACGATGGGGCACTATTCCTCCCCCCACTGACACCAACGATGGGCACTATTCCTCCCCCCACTGACACCACCAACGATGGGGCACTATTCCTCCCCCCACTGACACCAACGATGGGGCACTATTCCTCCCCCCACTGACACCAACGATGGGGCACTATTCCCCCACTGACACCAACGATGGGGCACTATTCCTCCCCCCCACTGACACCAACGATGGGGCACTATTCCTCCCCCCACTGACACCAACGATGGGGCACTATTCCTCCCCCCACTGACACCAACGATGGGGCACTATTCCTCCCCCCACTGACACCAACGATGGGGCACTATTCCTCCCCCCACTGACACCAACCAACGATGGGGCACTATTCCTCCCCCCACTGACACCAACGATGGGGCACTATTTCCCCCCCCACTGACACCAACGATGGGGCACTATTCCTCCCCCCCCACTGACACCAACGATGGGGCACTATTCCTCCCCCCACTGACACCAACGATGGGGCACTATTCCTCCCCCCACTGACACCAACGATGGGGCACTATTCCTCCCCCCACTGACACCAACGATGGGGCACTATTCCTCCCCCCCCCCACTGACACCAACGATGGGGCACTATTCCTCCCCCCACTGACACCAACGATGGGGCACTATTCCTCCCCCCACTGACACCAACGATGGGGCACTATTCCCCCCCCACTGACACCAACGATGGGGCACTATTCCCCCCCCCACTGACACCAACGATGGGGCACTATTCCTCCCCCCCCCCACTGACACCAACGATGGGGGGCACTATTCCTCCCCCCACTGACAACACCAACGATGGGGCACTATTCCTCCCCCCACTGACACCAAACGATGGGGCACACTATTCCTCCCCCCACTGACACCAACGATGGGGCACTATTCCTCCCCCCACTGACACCAACGATGGGGCACTATTCCTCCCCCCACTGACACCAACGATGGGGCACTATTCCTCCCCCCACTGACACCAACGATGGGGCACTATTCCTCCCCCCACTGACACCAACGATGGGGCACTATTCCTCCCCCCACTGACACCAACGATGGGGCACTATTCCTCCCCCCCCCCCACTGACACCAACGATGGGGCACTATTCCTCCCCCCACTGACACCAACGATGGGGCACTATTCCTCCCCCCACTGACACCAACGATGGGGCACTATTCCTCCCCCCACTGACACACCAACGATGGGGCACTATTTCCTCCCTCCACTGACACCAACGATGGGGCACTATTCCTCCCCCCACTGACACCAACGATGGGGCACTATTCCTCCCCCCACTGACACCAACGATGGGGCACACTATTCCTCCCCCCACTGACACCAACGATGGGGCACTATCCTCCCCCCACTGACACCAACGATGGGGCACTATTCCTCCCCCCACTGACACCAACGATGGGGCACTATTCCTCCCCCCCACTGACACCAACGATGGGGCACTATTCCTCCCCCCCACTGACACCAACGATGGGGCACTATTCCTCCCCCCACTGACACCAACGATGGGGCACTATTCCTCCCCCCACTGACACCAACGATGGGGCACTATTCCTCCCCCCACTGACACCAACGATGGGGCACTATTCCTCCCCCCACTGACACCAACGATGGGGCACTATTCCTCCCCCCCCCCCCACTGACACCAACGATGGGGCACTATTTCCTCCCCCCACTGACACCAACGATGGGGCACTATTCCTCCCCCCACTGACACCAACGATGGGGCACTATTCCTCCCCCCCACTGACACCAACGATGGGGCACTATTCCTCCCCCCCACTGACACCAACGATGGGGCACTATTCCTCCCCCCCACTGACACCAACGATGGGGGGCACTATTCCCCCCCACCACTGACACCAACGATGGGGCACTATTCCTCCCCCCACTGACACCAACGATGGGGCACTATTCCTCCCCCCACTGACACCAACGATGGGGCACTATTCCTCCCCCACTGACACCAACGATGGGGCACTATTTCCCCCCCCCCCCACTGACACCAACGATGGGGCACTATTCCTCCCCCCACTGACACCAACGATGGGGCACTATTCCTCCCCCCACTGACACCAACGATGGGGCACTATTCCTCCCCCCACTGACACCAACGATGGGGCACTATTCCTCCCCCCCCCACTGACACCAACGATGGGGCACTATTCCTCCCCCCACTGACACCAACGATGGGGCACTATTTCCTCCCCCCCCACTGACACCAACGATGGGGCACTATTCCTCCCCCACTGACACCAACGATGGGGCACTATTCCTCCCCCCCACTGACACCAACGATGGGCACTATTCCTCCCCCCACTGACACCAACGATGGGGCACTATTCCTCCCCCCACTGACACCAACGATGGGGCACTATTCCTCCCCCCACTGACACCAACGATGGGGCACTATTCCTCCCCCCCACTGACACCAACGATGGGGCACTATTCCTCCCCCCCACTGACACCAACGATGGGCACTATTCCTCCCCCCACTGACACCAACGATGGGGCACTATTTTCCTCCCCCCACTGACACCAACGATGGGGCACTATTCCTCCCCCCACTGACACCAACGATGGGGCACTATTCCTCCCCCCACTGACACCAACGATGGGGCACTATTCCTCCCCCCACTGACACCAACGATGGGGCACTATTCCTCCCATTTTTCCTCCCCCCCTGACACCAACGATGGGGCACTATTCCTCCCCCACTGACACCAACGATGGGGCACTATTCCTCCCCCCACTTGACACCAACGATGGGGCACTATTCCTCCCCCCACTGACACCAACGATGGGGCACTATTCCTCCCCCCACTGACACCAACGATGGGGCACTATTCCTCCCCCACTGACACCAACGATGGGGGGGCACTATTCCTCCCCCACTGACAACCAACGATGGGGGCACTATTCCTACCACTGACACCAACGATGGGGGCACTATTCCTACCACTGACACCAACGATGGGGGCACTATTCCTCCCATTGACATCAGTGATGGGGCACTATCCTCCCACTGACACCAATGATGAGGCACTATTCCTCCCACTGCAAAATTACAGTTATGAAGTAGGAACGAAAATAATTTTATGGTTGGGGGTCACCACAATGAGGAACTGTATTAAGGGGTCGCGGCATTAGAAAGGTTGAGAACCACTGACATAAACCAATTAATTATACACGTATTGGGTTTTTTTTTTTTAGCAAAGACATGTCGCAGAATGCATTTTGGCAGAAATTTATGACTAAATTTGATTTTTAATTTTTTTTTTTTTTTTACTGGACATGTTTTATAGCAAAAAGTCCAAAATATTGTTTTTTTTTTCCTCAAAATTGTCATTTTTTTTTTTTTTTTTTTTTTTTTTTTAGCGCAAAAAAATAAAAACCGCACAGGTGATCAAATACCACCGAAAGAAAGCTCAATTTGTGGGAAAAAAAAGGATGTAAATTTCATTTATGTACCGTTTTGCATGACCGCGCGCAATTGTCCCTTAAACTAGCACAGCGCTGTATAGCAAAAAAATGGCGTAAAATTGCAGTATTTATACCATAGTTTGTAGAAGCTATAACTTTCACACAAAGCAATCAATATACACTTATTGGTTTTTTTTTTTTTCCAAAAACATGTAGCAGAATACATTTTGGCCTAAAATTTATAACTAACTTTGAGTTTACTATATATTTTTTTTATAGCTGAAAGTTAAAAATATTGTTTTTCTTCAAAATGTTTGGCCTTTTTTTGTTTATAGTGTTAAAAATAAAAAGCGCACAGGTGATCAAATACCACCGAAAGAAAGCTCTATTTGTGCAGCATTGCATGACCACACAATTAAAATTAGTGAGCGCCGAGTAGCAAAAAGAGGCCTGGTCATTAAGGGGGGTAAATCCTCTGGAGCTCAAGTGGTTAATTACCCCTTAAACCGTACTGGTTGTTGGTGTGCATGAGTTCTTTAACCGTACGAGATGACACTAAGCTGCAAGCTGCTTTTCTTAATGAGTATGTTTTGGAGTCTTGTCAGGCCAGATGTTGATCTCATGCATTTTTATTCCTTCACATCTTAGGCTGAGGACTCCATGCGGTAAGAATCACGAAGCTCGCATCTTGCACCTGGAAGCTTTACTGACCAAACTGTCAGAGGTATGCAGCCTGAATACTGCAGGCTAAATGCTTTTCTTTGGAGTCCTGAAGGAGAACAGGAAGCATTTAAGTGCTAATGACTTTCTATTTATAGTTTTTTAGTTTTGGCATTTCACCAATTTTCTTGCACTTGTAGGCCATTGATGAAGACCGGAAGCGCGTGCAGACTAATGCTAGGTAATATTTTTAACCTATTTTCTACCTTGCTTGAGATCAGCTATTTGTAAGACTGAATGGTGATGACACCTCAGAATAAATCTTCTAGCTGTGATGGATAGCTGCTGACAGCTGATAAACTTTTATCAGCTGTACAGTGAAGAAAATAGAGCAGCTGTTTTGGCATGTTCTAATTTTTTTTTTTAGATTTTATCATAGAGGGAAAGCTTGCACATTGCGCCTTCCTACAGCTTAAAGGATAAGTTCACATTTGAGAACATGTTACACATTCCTTCCGTTTACATGTAACATGTTCACACTTCTATAAACAATAATATGCTCAATAATAAATAAATAATATAGATCCTTTCCTCAAATCTGTGAATATAGTAAAGTCCCAAAAGTAAATCAAAAATCAAAATATCTCACAAAAATCATATGTCCCTTTGAAAAATAAATAAATCCAAGTGTCCAAAGTTTGGTTCGAATCCTCAGCCTCTTGCAGCAACTTGATTTACCTCAAAAAACAAAAACATAAAAACCACATAGTGCATTATCCTTAATTAAATAAATTAATGCATAAGAACCATCCAGTGATATTTCACCCAAGTGAAAAAAAGTGTATACATAAAAATATACAAGCACATGTGCATATACACAGTGTGTAGTGAAAAACCGTGTATGTGAATCACTCTTTTTGTGCTCAAAAATCACACACCACAGTGTACACTTCTACTGAAGTAAGGAGTAAATACCCTTATCAATATTCAAAAATAACTTTTGCCTTAATAACAATCACCAAGAAGACTGTATGATGGGATGAATCTTTCTGCCAGTATCCTCAAATTTCACTCTGAACTCATAACACCATATGGATCCATCCACATTAGTATTTCAGACCAATTTCCACCATATCCGCCGTCCAGATACCCATATATGAAACAGAAAATAGTGTAATACTGCCACACTGTAAGCAGTACCATTAAAACTTCGGGATTTTAGTGTGTGGCAGTATTACACTATTTTCTGTTTCATATATGGGTATCTGGACGGCGGATATGGTGGAAATTGGTCTGAAATACTAATGTGGATGGATCCATATGGTGTTATGAGTTCAGAGTGAAATTTGAGGATACTGGCAGAAAGATTCATCCCATCATACAGTCTTCTTGGTGATTGTTATTAAGGCAAAAGTTATTTTTGAATATTGATAAGGGTATTTACTCCTTACTTCAGTAGAAGTGTACACTGTGGTGTGTGATTTTTGAGCACAAAAAGAGTGATTCACATACACGGTTTTTCACTACACATTGTGTATATGCACATGTGCTTGTATATTTTTATGTATACACTTTTTTTCACTTGGGTGAAATATCACTGGATGGTTCTTATGCATTAATTTATTTAATTAAGGATAATGCACTGTGGTTTTTATGTTTTTGTTTTTTGAGGTAAATCAAGTTGCTGCAAGAGGCTGAGGATTTGAATCAAACTTTGGACACTTGGATTTATTTATTTATTTATTTTTCAAAGGGACATATGATTTTTGTGAGATTTTGATTTACTTTTGGGACTTTACTATATTCACAGATTTGAGGAAAGGATCTATATTTATGTTATTATTGAGCATATTATTGTTTTATATTTGTACACCTCTAAGGGTAGGGGTGAAGTGTGCTTAAATAGAAATTGGGGATTAATAGTGATTTATTTATTATTATGTTCACAGTTTTGCAGCTCTCCCCACCCTGTGACAGTGGGCTGGGGATTTTCTCCTGGCACTGGCTATTATAATTTGAAAAGGGGGTGGCCATGCATGGCTGTTCTGTGAATGAATGCCTACAACTTCTGTCGTCCTGTGTGACTGATGGCTTGTAATTCTTAATGAACTGAGCGGGCGCTGGTGAGCTTTTTTGCAGTCCATTGAGCTTCCTGTCATTCAGTAATTGGCCATATCGGTGGTATGGGCAGACTGCTACACTGACAGTCTGCAGGAGCCCGACATTGCATCAGTGATATGCAGATGTAATGCTTTCAAAGCTCCTAAGAAAAAATAGGAAATGCGTGTTTTTTTTGCTTGCAAAAAACTGCAATTGATAGATGAATGGATGAATGGATATATTATTTATTTTTTTTTTTTTTAGAGAATTTTTTTAAAAGTGAACTTGTCCTTTAGGAAAGTGCTTGCCAACGTTCTGTAATATCAAGAGTTTTTGTAAAGCCTGCTTATGTGACCCATTATTCTATTCTATTCCATTATATTATAAGTAATTAAATTTAGTGTGGTTGCAATATTGAGGCATGTCTTCTGATATACAGAGTAAGGCTTGATGTTTTATGTAATGGGTTCTATGTTAAGGAGGGGACATTTTGTAATTATTTCTGGTATTGATATGTTATACTTGTATGATAAAACGGCAACATTTCACAATCTTCACTTTGAATATAATTAGCAGGCTATGCCATTGCAGCTTCTTTTCCCCTTTATGTTAAAATGTTCATTATGCTTTATTTGTGCAGTGAAGGTGAAATTCACGATCAAAGTTTACTTAGAAAAAGGATTGAAAGACTGGAGGAAGAATTTGCAGCATACAAAGCAGAGTTCCTTAACGGACAGACAGCGAAGTCTAGCTGTGATCTGCCAGACTGTGTTCTTCAAAAGGTAAAAAAACCTAGAGCATCAAATAAACTGTTCTATATTATTGCCTTTGGGGTAATATACAAATATCCTTTAATAAATGAAATCTAATAAATTCTAAATGCCGGCTGACTAGATTGCATTTATTAAACTTCAAAGATGCATTGTGTCCAAAAACAACCATATTTCTACAGTTTAGTGTGTTTGGATCATTAAGATGAATCCTGGTTACTGTTTTTCTTTTTGCTCTGTCTTTGGCCTCATTCACTCTGACAAACCTGCATTTATATGGATTAGAGGACACTCTTAAATGCACGCACAGGTTATGATTTTTTTTTTTTTTTTTTTTTTTTAGGGCGGAGGCCAGCAGGGCAGCGCAATAGTGGTGCTGGTGGGGGAGACAGAAGGACAGAGGGCAGCTGTCTATATTACAATAGAAGAGCGGTTTCCTTCTCCTTCAGAGCTGTGCAGGGAAGCTGCTTTGTGTTTTCTGGCGCTCTGTTCCTGCTGGTTCTCCTCTCTCTCGTGCATTCCATGTGATGTTAGGCACCTAAGATGAAGGGGGGGAGAATCAATACTGACATTTGTTGCTTGCCTCTGCTGCTCTGCATGTGGGGAAGAGCATATCATGATATGAGTGTGAGATTAGTGGGGGGGGGGGGGGGACAGTCTGCCAGTTACTTGCTTATTATTGGGTAGATTGCGGCGGAAACTCTGCAGTGGAGTGTGTGTGTTGTTTTTGTTTCTTATTATTTTTTGTTTCTCTGATGGGGAAACCTCACATACTGTTTGGTCACCAGAAAAGGTAATGTCAGCGCTTATAACCTGACAGAGGTTATACTATAAAACAAATGGGCTCCCCCCAAAATGGATTATATTTTCTTTTCAGATTTACCATAACAATTTACCAAACGTCCACTGCAGGTGAATTATCCATGGGCATGTGTTTTTAAATGAGTGATTCACCAACAGTGAATGTTAAATAAAAATCACATTTACTGCTTTAGAGAAACACCACTCAGACTCTGATATTGTCAACTTTCTCAATGAAATGGTGTGGCCACTGCCTTTTCTTGTGGGGCCTTCTCCACCATCCTTGTTTGCAGTGGCTAACTTGGCTTATTCAAAGGTTTAAAAGATAAACCTTTCCTGAGTAGTTATCCCGACTGATATGGGGCCTGTAAGTCTTCCACCTTAAACATGTTTCACATACTTCAAAATATTAGGGTGAGGGTTCCCACTTTTGCACCTTTCCTTGTGGAGTCTGGTTTGTATTCCTTTTTGAGTTTGAGCTGCACACCATGGACCTCCCTGCAGGCTTTATTCCACAGTAAGAATTTTTTTTTTTAAATGATGTATTGCAAACATCAACATGACAGTACAAAGCATAGACAATCTTCAGTAACCTATAACAGTGTTTCTTGACCTTTTTTCAGCCATAGCACCCTTTAAAAAGTACACAAAATCTTGAGGCAGCATTGATGTAAATATTGCTTAATTAACATTGGAATCTTAAACCTGGGATGATACACAATCGTCTTGAAAACTGATGAAATGCTGGGGGTGACCTTGACTGCTGCCTGCCCTGGATCAGTCTCAGGCGTTGCCATGGTTCAGGCGTTATACTGTAGATCCTGACCTTAGGGCTACATTAGTTATGTTGCTGGTTGCCGGCATGCACCATGGCAATGCATGATGTTGACCCAGGGCAAATTGCGTCCCATATTCACACACCCAGGGGAAATCAAGCATTGCCAGAGTTGTGAAACACTGGTCTACAATATCAAACTGGTGCTAGATCTGGCATCAACAACCATGGCTACCAAAGGTATTTCTGTGTACAACCAATATGCTCCTTGGTAAGACAAGATTGACTTGTTTTCTCTATCCCTCAAAGCAAGAGGACAACCATTTGTGTGCTGATTATCTGTGTGCCACAATAAAGAGCCTAAAATAGGGGCAGGTATCTCCAGGGTATAGTATTTATCTGGCTAGCTTAGGAATATGCTGAGGTTCCAAGGTAATTGATCTTGGAAGGTGGTATTAATGGTGTTTCATGATTTGCCAGTATCTTGAAAAGAAAAAAAAACTTGGTACAATTCCCTAATGTGAGTTAAAGCGGTATTAAACCCCAAAATAAGTAATATTTTGCAGCCTTCTAATTCTTAGATATGGTGGTTGCTTTAGTTTTCTTTTTTAGACTTTCTCCCTTTCTTTTCCCCTGGTGTTTTGACCACTAAATCTGATGTTTTACAGTTTCATTTACCAGACCAAGCTGTCTGGCAAAAGTGGCAGTTAACCACCTCCCATCCGGCCATTGTATATAAATGGCCGGACGGTGGCAATGCAGGGTTGGGTGGCCGTTGGGAGCATGCAGCATGGCGATCCGCTGCCTGCTGTGTCCTCCGGACACAGTGGAACACCGATCGTCGGATGGGACCTCTGTGTGAGGTTCCGATCATGTGATCACTGATTGGACAATTAGTGATCACATGCAGAGTAGTAAGCAAGATGTCACTTCTGACGACATTGCTTACTATGTGAAATCTGTGAATGATCACAGAAGTCGCATGATACAGGGCTATTCACAACAGCCTTGTACCATGTGACAAGCTGTGACCAATCACAGCTCACACAGTAGTTCTCAATGGCTGCAAGAATGCAGTCAGAGAAGGAGAAATGATTGCTTTTACAGCCTTTATGGGTGTAAAAGCAATCCGAGTAAAAAGATGAAAAAAATAAATAAAAAATCATCACCCCCCACAAGTAGTACAGTGTCACCATGGTGACAATGTACTGCTAGGGTGACCAGTATAAAAAAAAAAACCATAAATAATAAAAAAAGAAAAATGTCCGTTTAAATTATTTTTGGTTATAAACTAATTTGGGTTATTTTTTTTTTATTCACTAAAAAGATAACGGAATACATTTTGGCCAAGATTTTATGTTTATTTATTTGCAAAATTTTATAAGAAAAACACTTTTTTTCAAAATTTTTGGACTTTTTCATTTAAATAGCAAAAAAAAAAAAAAAAAATCGCATTGGTGAATAAATACCACCAAAATAAAATTTTATCGGTCTCAAAAACATGCTAAAAAAAATTCATATGGGTACAGTGTTGCATGACCGCGCAATTGTCATTCAAAGTGTGATAACACTGAAAGCTGAAAATTGGCCTGGACAGGAAGGGGGGAAGGGGGTAAAAGTGTCCGGACAGGAAGTGGTTAAGAGGTTTGTGACAAACCATACAACACTGACAGGGATGCTTATAATGGTCAGCTTTTTTTATTAATTTATACCTTTATCTCAAAAGGAAATAACAATTTTGCTGTAACAGCTTAAAATGTGTTAGCTGGCATTCATATTTAATGCATTACTCAAGTCCATCTCAATCTGCTAGTGCATCAAAAACTACCCTCTCCTCTGTTTGAAAATGCTGCTGCCAAACTGTGTCAGTGACTCCTCCTCCATAGAGTGGAAGCACCATAAGACAGAAAGTGTTACTTGTGGCAGGGTCACCAGGTAAAAATAAAGGGGTAAATAAAACAAAAAATAATGCGGCCACCACATTTAAGGATTGGTAAGCTGCAGTATATTACATGGTTTTTGTTTTAATGCCACTTTGAGTCTTCAGGACCACTGTGGCAGGTAGGGTCATCAGGAGTCTAGTGCCACCAGAATAATTCTGTTAACAGTTTTTGTTTACATTTTATCTGACCTTTTCAATGGGCAAGCTACTTCAAAAGCATCTGGTAAATCATACAGCAAGTTAGGAAGCACATTTTGCCAAGTCAGTTTAAGCTCTAAGTAACCATTCCAATGTGATTTACCATTAATTGTACTATAGTTCAGACAGCTTGTGGTCCTTGCAGATACATGTGTTAGCCTTCAACTTTAAAGGGAAACAAGTGAACCTGACTGATCAAGTGACCTGTGGCCAGGCTATGGGCATTAAAGTAGTGGTGCACCGAAATGAAGATTCTGGTGCCAAAACCGATACCACAAATTCAGAATGCATGTGGCCGAAAACTGAAACCGAAATGTCTGCATATGTGGGGAGGCTCCAATTTTTTATTTTTTTTTTTCTACTTTCATGTATATTTTTATTTTAACTTGTGATTTTATTGCCATCACATAGGGGACCAATAGTCCCCTATGTAATGGCATATGAGTGACAGCTCCTCTTTGTAGGGGGTGAGGCAGTGTGTGCAAGGAAGGGGGCAGGAGAGGAGCAGTGTATACAGAGGGGCTCCCTCACTGGCTGTCACTATATGTCGCTGCAGATTTTTAAATCCACTTGCTGGCTTTTTTTTTTTTTTTGTTCACTATAGCTCACAGAATTAGCGGTCACTTTCCCTGGAGCTAAAGGAAACGTTGTTTCTTTTAGCTGGGGGGAAGTGATAGCTAATTCTGTGAGCTAAAGTGAAGAAAAAAAAAAGCCGGTAATTTTATTTAAAAACTGTCACTGACATATAGTGACAGCCGGTCAGTAGATACACTGCTGCTCCCTGCCATTCTCCGCCGCCCCACCCTCACATCTGCAGTTCACACAGTCTCCAGTATCGGCACCTGTATAGGCTAAATTTTTCCTATCAGCAGAATACTGATAGGGCTATTTTCGGCCGATATATTTTGGTCGCCGAAATTTCGGTGCATCCCTACATTAAAGCAATTACATTCTTACAAGTATAAAACAAGCCTTCTGTGACCTTTTTGTAGCTGCATAAACATTGAACAATTCATCATTAGTTTCCTCAGAAACTTGAATTAAATCAAATGCTTATGTCAGCAGCAGTGTTTCACTCAGCTGGCCCTTTTCTAGAGCACATGCTCTGTGTTCAATAGAGCAGGGGTGTCCAAACATTCTAAACAAAAGGCCTGTTTATGGTCCTTCAGTCTTTAGTGGGGCAGGTATGTGGCCAGAAGATGTAGAAAATGTCCTAGTGTGTGAGGAAACTACACCTCATCATTGATGTCAAGGGGATGAATAGGGCCCCATTGGTGTCAGTGGGAGGAATAGTGCCACATCGTTTGTGTCAGTGGAAGCAATTATGGCCAGTTGATGTCAGTGGGAGATATAGTGCACCAAGGGTCAGATAAAGGCAAGCAAAGGGCCACAGTTTGGAGACCACTACACTAGAGAATAGAATGCTTGGAAGACTGCCAAGTCACTGCTTGGAGGGGGAGCAGATATGTCCTGCATCTCTGGATTACCTGTAATATAAAGTACCTGTAATTTATAAAGCAAACGCACTCACATTAATTTCAGATGTATGTTTAGCGGTTTACCTGAAGTTCAGATAACGTTTATGGGAGCAACTGTTTATAAATTTCTCTTTTAGGTGGATGCCAGAGTTAGAGAATCTGTCCAAATGATGTTTGGAAGTCAGACACATCTGCCAGAGTCCTTGCTACAGTGGATTTCCGCAAACTATGTTAGTAATGTAGATCTTGGTACCAGATTACAAAAACTAGAGCTCCAAATCTTGAAGAATATCACTCACCAGATGTCAATCACAAAGAAGGTGGCAACAGCTAAAGTAGTGGAAGGGGCAGTAACTGGAAGTGTATCTGGTATTTCGGAGGAGGTAGGTGTTTGTTTTGTTATCTGAAACCCGAGATATGTTTAAGTGGTCAGGAAAAAATGGATTTTGGACCATTAAAATAAGTTGCCTCTAAGATTATGGTACTTTATGTACAAATGACAGTTTCACCAGATATTACAAATGTTGCTGCGACTGAGGGTGCTGACTACAGTATGGTGAAGAATCATGTCGTTCATTCTCCCTTTATCTCTATACAAAAAACCCTTTGTATTCTTTTCACAGATTAAGTCATTCTGTAAATGGATGAAGGGTTGACATTTACCTCCTCACCCCCCCTTGTCCATTCACAGAACACCATGCATCTTGTGAAAATAATATAAGGCTTCTTGTGAATGGAGGAGGGGAGAGTGATTGACATGATCCTTCACTTTACTATGGCTGCAACTCGGTGCTGGAAGAAGAGCACTGTTTGTAGTATCCAGCTTCATTGAGAATTTTGTGCAGCAGCAGCCATCTAGACTTTGCATACTAGAAGTAAGTAACTTCAGTGGTACGGCTTTCAATAACATTTTTTCTCCTATTTTAACACTCAGCCTGCCACATTCATAATGTTTTTTTTCTAAATAAGTAACTTTTTTATACTTACCAGCTCTGATGCTCTCTCTCCTCTTCTCTTTGTGCCATCGTAGAAAGCGGCTCCTTTTCATTGTGGGGCACATGTGGGGCTTGATCCTGAGGCAAGTTGCCTGCTTCTATAGACACAGACAGTGATGCTCGGATTGGCCTCCCTTCTTTTTTTTTTTTTTTTTTTTTGTAGGATTTGACTGACATTGGCTCCCGCTGCTCTCAGCAGAGCCTGAGAGCTGGGGGATGATGAGAGGGAGAGAGAGCCGCTGCAGACAGGCACAGCTCTGGTTCGAGATCAGGCTCACAGAAGTATAAGGGGGCAGAGGGGGTGATACACATAATGCATTCCCTGCATTGAGGTAAAAAATATTTAGGCTTTACAAACATTTTAATTTTAAACGTTGAGACCTTTGTGTTACCTGAGATTGGGAAATACTGATACTTTAAAAGAGAAGTAGGGCTTTTTTTTTTTTTTTTTTTTTTTTTTTTTTTTTAGGTCCGATTCTGCATCTGTCCCGTCGGCTCTAAGTGCGAAACGCCTGAGCCAACCGCTCCCTCCCTCTCCAGAGCTGGGGGAGGGGCCGAGCAGACAGTAGTGACTGACAGTCACTGCTCTCTGCTCAGAGAGGAGAAGACACCTCAGCGGTCATATGATTGCTGAGTTCTCACTGCTCTCTGCTCTACTCCCCCAGTGCTCACTGGAGCGCTGGGCTGTGGAGGAGGGAGTGGCTGCCTCAGGCTCTCAGCGTTTTACTGAGAGGCTGAGCCAGGTGCCGCTCCAGACTCTGGGGTGGATCCTGACTTTTAAAGTCTGGATCTGTCCTCAGCCTGGACTGTCTGACCGACGTCAGCTGACAGCGGACTTCAGCGCGCTGTTGGCTGAAAACGGGTCACAGTAGTGCAAAATGAATTGCACTCCTGTGATTCACAGGAGAAGTACAGCCAAAAGAGCTTTGGCTGTACTTCTCCTTTTTTAACTTTAACAACAACAATACACCTTACATCTTTACTCGTATAGTTACTCAAACAAGAGTAGACTACTCCCCTTTATTTATTTATTTTTTCTCCTTCCATTTCAAGGATGCACGTGTTATTGTGAATAATGCTTTGAAGCTTTACTCTCAGGACCGTACTGGCATGGTGGATTTTGCATTGGAATCTGGAGGTAAGCTTTGGTTTATCATATTACATAGTTTTAGGTAGGGGAACGTATTCTCCTGACCATTTAAATTGACTTTCTGTACAGGTATTCACATATTTAGGTCCTGTGAGATTTACTTTCATTTTTTGATAATCTGGCATTCTAAAATATGACCACAATTGGCATTTGCCTCCTCTGTGAAGTAGCAGAAGCATTCTGGGGACCTACCATTTTCTGCACATCTTGCATTGTATAGTCCCTGAAGACACTGCCTTTTTTTATTTTCTGCTTGCTTTGCAGATCTTGGTGATTTTTTTTTTTTTTTAAGTGTATCTAAACCCCCCCAAAAAAATGGATTGCGGCTTTATTGGTTCTTAGATGTGTGGTTTTTCTCTCTTTCTTTTTTTGCTTGTTTCCTTTTAGTGTCATATGGCCAATCATGTCAACACTTCAGTCTAAGGGTAAAAATGCTCTCTTTGCTATATAGAATTGCAGCATTGTTACCCTAGGACAGGAAGCATGACCACCCCCTATATTCATAACTTATATGGGGAGGGGGGGGGTGTTCTGTAGTCCACTACAGGCAGAACTGAGCAAGGCTAATAACACTACATTGTCAACTCACTGCAGAAGTTACCTGTTCACTGGGCTTCTGGCAGGATTGGCAGGTATTTTCAAAATACAAAACTTGTATATATTTGTGCAACTTTTGTTGAGCAAATATATTAAAAAAAACAAAAATGAGTAGTACCTTTTTAAGCGTGTGTGTGTAAAATGTCAAATGAGTCAACACTTTTGATACTGGTAATACGAAGTCTTCTAAATTTACACTGGAGGGGAAGTTAGCTGTATATTTGTTTATTGTGCTCACATCTGTTGATACTTGTTAGGTCATATATAGTTTATAATTGACTTACTTAAGAAATGCTGGATAATACATTTTCCACTCCACTAGCAGTTAGCCTGATTTATTTATGCCATCCTGTTTTTACCTTTTAAAAAAAACATTATTTCTTTCTTTAGTTGTGGGAATCCTCTAGAATACTACACTTGGGCCCCGTTTATATCTGAGCTATGCAAGGGCTGGGCTTTGCGTTATTAGTGCGTCTTTAGAGCAACATCATTTGCTTGAATTGGCTGCCCTCCACTCCAAATGTACTTAAGTAGCTCCTGTACCTTTTTTTTGGACCAGTGTATGAATGCCTATGTCATGTCATATCTCCACAATTTCTGTGGAGGCAGAGAATCACTCTAGTAGCTGCTGCTACTGCAGTGATCCTTGCTATCTTCCAGGATCTGTGCTTTGCAGCTGCTCTGCTGTATAGTAACCACAGGGCTTTGCTCACTGCACATGTGCCATTCAGGTAATGCCTTGCTTTTTTCTAACTATTGCAAAGCCTGCTCTGATTGGACAAGGTGGGAGTCACAGGATAGTCACATCACAATCTCCACCTCATCCAATCAGAGAGCGCTTAATCTATAGCGTATTCTTAGGTACGGTTGGATCGTTTTGGATCGTGGATAGTTTTTGTTGATCTCTTATAAATTTGCACTAAGTTAAATCTGTTCTAGTGAGTTGTAACTTCAGGGTTCTGCTTTACTATAGTGAAATTCTGAGTGTGAGATGGGAAAGTAAAGCTGCCTATACAGGAGTCACAATAGAATGGCATCAGTCATGAGTCCTAAGATTACTTTTGTACCCTCCATTTTGTAAATTTTCTCAGAATCTGTTAAATTGTTTCAAGAAGGAAGAAAAACCCATCCTGATATGTTTGATTCTTCTAGGTGGCAGCATCTTGGGTACTCGTTGTTCAGAAACCTATGGAACAAAGACAGCACTCCTAAGTTTGTTTGGAATTCCATTGTGGTATTTATCTCAGTCTCCCAGAGTGGTAATACAGGTGAGGAAAGGGAGACACCTTTTTTTTTTTTTTTTTTTTCCCCTTAATGAAGATATTGGGGTTTTTTCACACCAGGCCCATTCATTTTGGGTTGCACTGTAAAGATTCCCTAGCTGTGTTATAATTGTATATACAATGGTGCAGCTCTGGTATCAATCTATGTGAAAAATGCAAATAAATGTGAACTAATATCCACTATATGTGCAAAAAAAAAAAATGAGATGAATTATAAAGTCCAAAGAAAGGTGCATTGTCTAACAATATTGTGTGAATCAATGGTGATTAACGGTGTAAGGTGACTCTTGTGAAGGGTACATCTGTGACAATCCTCCACCACTACGCACTCACCAGAAGCAAGAAATAAGCAAGCTCTGTACAGAATTCCCTCCGAGATGTAACATTTTCACTACAGCAAGTCGGTATATGGCTAAATGACATCCACTGCGGCTGGACTCTATATGGGCATTCCTTAAGATTGATCTCTCAGCTCCCATACACCAATCGGCGAACAATCCAGATGTGGGAAATCCTGAAAAGAGATCAAATACCAGAGACAGCGAAATATAGTGTAGTATTCAATCAAAATACAAGGCATCCACGTGGAGCATAAAAACAATCACTCAAAGATGTCCATTGGAGCATCGCATGGACTCGGCAGCATGACGTCAGCAGGGAGGTTCCTCCCTACGTGCTGGCGTCACACTGCCAAGTCCATGCGATGGTCCGGCGGCCATCTTTGCGAGTGATTGTTTTTATGCTCCACGTGGATGCCTTGTATTTTGATTGAATACTACACTATATATCGCGGTCTCCGGGCTCTGGTATTTGAGCTCTTTTCAGGATTTGCCACATCTGGATTGTTCGGTGTATGGGAGCTGGGAGAGCCATCCTAAGGAATGCCCATATAGAGCCCAGCCGCAGTGGATATTTGGCCATATACCTACTTGCTGCAGTAGAAAGGTTACATCTCTTGGAGGGATTTCTGTACAGAGCCAGTTTATTTCTTGTTTCTGGTGAGTGCATAGTGGTGGAGGATTGTCACAGATATACCCTTCACAAGAGTCGCCTTACACCATTGATTCTCACAATATTGTTGGACATTGCACCTCTCTTTGGACTTTATAATTCATGTCATGTTTTTTGCACAATATTGGATATTCACATGTTGCATTTTTCACATAGATTGATACCAGCGCTGCAGTGTGTGTGTGTGTGTGTGTGTGTGTGTGTGTGTGTGTGTGTGTGTATAATTTGTTTCAGTGGAACAGGAGTTTGCCACTGTGTGCTAGCTGCTTTTTCTATAATTTTTTTTTTCTTTGTGCTCACTATATATCTTTTTGACACTTGTGTGTTATGTATTTTTGATGCAAAATCTGGCATAGCTCAGTTTCATTAGTCTGAGTGCCTGTGGACCTGAGCTGTATGATTTTGCATGAAGATGTGGTCATATGAGTGGGACAGCAGCTGTTGTCATCTCAAGAAGAATGCAATTTTGCTGTAAATCTTTATTCTGGTCAGATCGTTTACAAGTGTGCTCAAAACTATGGGAATGTTCAGAATGTAAATTGCTGCCAAAGGAATGCAGTCAATTATGTACTTAAAATGAATGCTTCAAGCAAAATATGTAGCTGGAAGACAGTACTATATTACTCTTTTTAAATTGAGACATCTAAAGGGTGAACAGGATGAATCCTATAGAATAGTACTGTTACACAGTTTAAAAGCTGAGCAGCTGATATCAATATATTAGAGAGATGTAGTATATCACATGATGTATGATCACTGAGGAGACACCCATTGGTTGTCCTGTACTGTGGGCCCTTGTGAACAACATTATCTTGATTTAGATGCTGTGCAGTATCTCACAGAACATAAGCATGACAAATGAATAGGGAGGGACTGCAAAGAGATGCAAGAGGCGTAAAAAAAAGTATTTTCTTTATTTTTTGTAAATATATGATTGGGTGAAACAACCCATTATGTTTTAAAATGGAATTGAAAGGCAAAACACAGCTGCATAAGGAGTTTAGAGAGGAGAGAGCAGCACACTGATCTTCCCAGTGAATAGCTGTGCCGGGAGGGGCCGGGGGCGTCAGCAGAAATCTGATCATTGGAGGAGAGCCGATTCAGTTCTCGACACAGCCAAAAATCATGCTGTGCTCTCATGCCTAGTGTGATCAGTTTTTAATAGGAAAGCAGGGGGAATGGCAGTACAAGCAATACAATAAGAGCAGGATACTTTTTCATACAAGTACATGGTACAGCAGGCACATATCCCCCGTTCATCAATGCTGCTAGCAAGGCAACAGCTGTTTTGACAGACAGCACTTCTCTCCAGGTTTAGCTGCATTTTTGGATGAATAAGGGAGGAGGGGCCCTGTGTGACCTCACAGAAGCTTTGGACAACACATAGAAAGATGGAACAAAGTACTAAATGTTAATAAAGATTGAAGTGTGACAACTTCAAGTGTTGCAGCTGAAATAAATTGTGGCTCCTAGAGCAGAGACTAAATCCAATTGTCTATTCAAACCGGTTTTTTTTTTTTTTGTTTTTTTTTTTGTTTTTGTTTTTTTTGCTCGATTTGCTATAAGGCTCTGCCAATAAGTGCAATCTGAGAATAATAAATGCTACATTTTGCAATCTTTAGTACATTTAATTTGAAAAGACCGTGCTCTAAATTGTGACTTTTCTTATGCCAGCCTGACATGTATCCTGGGAACTGCTGGGCATTTAGAGGTGCTCAAGGATATCTGGTTGTGCGACTATCAATGGCAATTTTACCAGCTGCTTTCTCATTAGAACATATTCCCAGATCTCTCTCTCCCACTGGAAACATCACAAGTGCACCCAAGGATTTCGCTGTATATGTAAGTGAACCTATTTTCTTGCCTTTTAAGTCTCCGGAGTGTGCATTAGTTATTATTCACGGTATTTTTCTTTCATGAAAGGGGTTGGAAGATGAGTATCAGGAAGATGGGACACTGTTGGTTCAGTCTGTGTATGATGAAGAGGGAGAGCCTCTACAGACTTTCTATGTGACGGTAGGTGGTTCTTGTGAATGTAACTATTGTACTTTTAAATTGAGCATACTTCAAGAATTGCCAGTACATAGAAAATGATGGTCTATTGTTAAATCCCTACTTTAAAGCCCTACTCTGAGCAACATTTGAACCCCCTCCCATCCACCTCTAGCCCATCCTGCAAGGATTCCCATTTTTCTTACCTAAGGAAACAAGATGGCTTTACTTAAAGCTGGGCAAAGCAGGCTGAATGAAAAACTAACAGATTTCTCCATCCACACAAGCCAGGTGGCTGTAGGAATCTCTTGCAGGCTCCTGCCGCTGTAAGAATACACAGACCAGCTGCAGTCTCCGATGGCACAAGTTTTACAGCATGTCCCTTTGGTCTAACAATTGACACCTGTTGAATATGGACGGGCACACACAGATCTAGATTCAGCTGGTCTCTGCTGAAGCAGCCAACTCGCAATCAGTCTATGTCCAGCTTAAGTCCTCTGTCCAAATTCCTGGCCAACGCTGTTTCTCAGTGTTGATGACTGTTAACCTGGTGCTTCAAATATACCCAAGATCATAGTCCAATCACACTGACATCATTCCTTCTTCTGTGGATCCTGAGAGGACCCTGCCACTAGACAGCATATAGGAAGTGTTCACATCATACAGACAATATGTACAACTGAAGAAGGATCCCTCTGGATGTAAGCAAAGATAGAGGCATAACCTGGTACTGGAACATCATGTGACCACAGCTATATGTAGGTAAAAACATTTAGATGGGTTTTTTTTTTTTTTTTTTTTCATGCTAGCAATTGGCAAAAAAAAAAAAAAAAAATCTATATCTATCTACTTTAACCACCCCAATGCAGATTGCCATCTGTGTCCCAATGGTGGGAGATTCACCTTCACTTCTTGTTCCATAGCCAAAACAGGAAATCCCTGCAAATTAACCCCTTGACGCCAACGTCACACAAATATGCGGCCTCACGGAACTGGGCTTTTTTTCTGTGGGGCCGCATATTTGCATACCTGTCTTTGTGCTGGGAGCACGCCGCATTGCACGCTTCCAGCACAAAGACCGCGGTGTCATTGAGAGCCCTGGGTCCCGTTCTAACGATCGGGACCTGGGACTCCCGATTCTAGGTCACATGATCGCTGTGATAGCCTCTGATTGGCTATCACAGTGATCAGTCCCTGTGCAGCCCGGCCCCCTTGTCTTTTTCTTCTCTATGAATGGAGAAGAGAGATACATTGTATCTCTAACTTCTAGCATAGAGAGGGAAAAAAATGTTTGTTTGTTTTTTTTAACAAAGATAAATATTAAAAAAATAAAATACTTAGATCAAGGTTTGATCTAGTTCAGTGCCGGGGTTATTGTTTGGGTCAAGGTCAAAGGTCATGATTTGAAAAAAAAAAAAAAAATATTGATGTCCGTGTGTTTTAGGTAAAAACAAAATGTGCACTATTGTTTCTGGGCTGTACTACAGGTACAAATAACATACACATATATGGTATCGCTGTGATCGTCAACAGCTGGAGAATTTATTTTGGGTTCTTTGGTGGTAGGTTATGGTATTAACAAGAAACACAGCTAAATTAAAAAAAAATATTTTTTCTTTTAGGTTTGCTTTAAATTTCCTTTTTAAAGGGGGGTTTTCTTTTGGACTTGATACCTATAAAGTATGTTATTTTGCCATTAAAACTGATCAACTGATACAATAAAACTGATCTCTGAACAGTCGTATTAGGGAGAAGCTACATACACAGTATTTGCATGTTAAACGTAATAATCTTTCTGGAAGTCACCTCAGTTGATGTACATTGCCAAAATTGTAAATTTGGTTTGTAGCCCACAACTTAATTGCCTGTGTGATTTAGTTTATAATGCAACAGTGTGTGGCTATTAATGTGGGGAAACAAAGTATGTCTAGCCAGAGGAATGTAGGTTTTTTTTTGTTTTGTTTTGTGTTTTTTTTTTTACACTCTTTTCATATTTTTGAAAATGTATGCAACTCTCTGAAAATGTTTACTGTTCCATACATTCATTTGGAAAAAAAAAAGAAAATTTTGTTTTGAAAATTCTTTTTAATTTGACATTTTTAAAAAATTTCTTGAAACAACAAATTCTAATTTTATTCAAGCAATATGTAGTCACAGCAACAAATCAGCTGTTATAGTAAACCCTGACAACCAGTCTTTGTTGTAAATACTGCAAGTTATCCTTGCTACATGGGTCAGAACCAAATTTGTCCATACAGGGAACTAGTAGGATGTCAGAAGGCATTAAAAAGCACACATCTCCAAGCGTAATACTTCATCTAACGTGCCATGTGTAAGCCAAGGTATACCGTTGTTTGGTATTTAGGTTTTGGCGGGTCTTTAGCTTTTTGTCTTTGCTCAGAACCTAGGCATAACTATTTTTTAGGTTTTTATTAACCATAACTTTCTGTGTATGATTGTTGCTCCTGTATTTTGTTTTTCAGGTAGAAAATGAGAAACCCTTCCAAATTGTGTGGAGCTAAGAATCCTGTCCAATTGGGGTCACGCAGATTACACTTGTCTTTATCGTTTCCGAGCTCATGGAACCCCAGTGAAGTAAAGGCAGAACACTTGTCCTATGTGTATATAATTTTTTTATTTGTGTAAATACGTCAAACCTGAAACACTGGATTAAGTCAGGTACACAAGCAGGAGGGATGCTCCTTCAGGATCCCTCAACGCCAAAATTGGAAAACCATTTGATATATACTTAGATGTTGCCAGTTTGCTTGACAAAATGCTGCATGCATATTGCTCAGGATTGAAAGTCCAGTAAGCAGTAGACCTAACACGTTCTTTTAAATAGGAGCCAAAGTTTAAAGGGTACATTTAATGATAGTATGCTGCAGATCTGTAGTTTAAGCCAAATCTCTGCTACGAAATTCAAATGCATGATGTTTTAGGCTCTGTTTTGACATAGGTTAAGTTCACTAGTTTCATTAAGTAAGGGCAACAGCGAGGCTGTATACGATGAAGGGGGTCTATTGCCCGTGTCAGCAAGATTTTTATTTTTAACCTCTGCTGGAAAAGAGAGCTGCAGTCTGGGGATCATGGGCAAAAAAAAAACAAAACAAAAAAAACACATTTCCAGGAACATTTACATAATCTGGAACGTTCTTACAGTCATTCATCTTTAAAAACAAAAAAAGTTTGCCAAGGGCTGCTGTGGAATGGAGTAGTATAGAACTAACCAAATTGTGTTGGATGTTTCTTAATCTTTCATTTTCGTTTAAAAAAAAAAAAAAAAAAAAAAAAAAAAAAACACTTCTATGCCGTCTGTGGGTAGAATTGAAGTGGGTAGAATGTGGTTTTTTTTTTTTTTTTTTTGCTTTTTTTTTTTTTTTTTTTGTTGCTGCCCCCATTTCACAGGTATTCCGCTGTTAAAGGGAAACTATCATAAGAAGATTATGCAGACTGCCATTGATTAACTCTTCTCTGGGAATACTAGGTTCCTGGCTGACTTGGTGTTGTTTTTGGCTTCCAGTGCTCAGAGATAGAAGTGAGGCTCTGCATGCATTTTTTTCCAGTGGAAAAAGTCCTTTTTTGACCCTGATCACTTGGGTTCAGGAGTACTTCATAGGGACCCTGGAAAATTGGGGTCACCCGGACTAAAGAATTCATGTGTAATCAAACCTAAAAACAGCAAACAAGAAGCAAGGCTTTCTTTTCCTGTCACCAGCCAGATTAATAAAAGACTTTGGACTCCCGAGATGTTTTACACTGGTATTGGCTCGATTACACATTTTGCTTTGTTGTCTGAGCTGACCTGGAACAAATATAGGAATAAGTGGTCATATACTTTTGACATTTGTGTTCACAACATGCTTGTTCGGAGTCTGCAATTCAAAAGTCGGACACAGCCAGACAACTAGCTTTTTGAGAAGGAGACCAGCAATGGCAGCCCTCATACTTCATGACAGTCACAATAGGCACAGAGCTGCTCCTAGTATGTGGAAGTGTGCCAGGATGGAAACTTTGCAGCTGAATTTTATGAACATGAAGCTGAGTACATTACTACAATAAACTTGCTTCATGCCAATGTACACCTTAGTTGTAAGGTCACATTCACACTGGTCATTGGACTGTGTTTTCATTGTGTTTGGGTGTGCTTGCTGTGCGTGACTTCATAGGTAACCTTTTGAGAACACAGAAACCATAAACATAGAGTGCTAACACAAAGCACCATATTCTTCATGTACTATTAAGTTAAACAGTCGTTTTAGATTGTTGGTGAATTACAGCAACCAAACCACAGTGTAAACCGTTCATTTACTTTGTGTGCTAAGTGGAGTTCTTCTTTAATAGTAACCAGTATAGAAAAAAAAGCACTTAAGTTGTCTACCCAGGACTGGTAAATCTTCAGCCATCTTTCCTTCAATAACTATTCTATAAAACTGGAGCAAAAAGGACAAGTAATGGGGTTGCTCACAGAAACCACTTACACTCCAACTGCTGAATTGGACAGAACAGCTAATCTATGACTGGTACAGTCACTTTGTTCCAGTTTTATAAATATGTTGGTAAAATTGATGGATATGATTTTTTATATATATATATATATATATAATATATATATATATATATATAGGAAAAGGGAAGGAGAACTCCAAATATGCTTCTTTTACTCTACAACTCCCAGCAATATCTGCTTGTTTTTCCAGTTCTCTCTAGTGAAAGTTGGTGTGTCTGCCTGTAGATTTCTTTTACTTGTGTACGTGTATTTTAAATTATTTTGAAAGCTAGCCAAACAACAAATGTCAAATATATTTTTATGTATATATATTTATAGAAATGTTTTATAAGTTCAGAGCCTCACTTTTCAGCTACATCTTGTATAGTTATAACACTCTGGAAACACTAAGCTAAAGTAAAATACTTCTCCGCCTATAATGGGTTTCTATTTTTTTGTGGAGTAGGACAAAGTTTGATCCCCCTGCTGGCTTTTTTTTTTTTTTTACTGATGTCCAAGACCACGTAAAGAGGTCCCCCCTCAAATGTGATGACAGACCGCTTTTCTTCTGCGCTGTCATTGTCACTGGCATCCAGTTTTAAGATATGGAGAAACCAATAGGTTGTGGTGCAGGAGTTCTGGGTTTTTATGCCCTCTAGTGGATTCTAGATTGGTATATTGGTAGAAATCTTAGGAGAATTCAGAGATGGGTTCCTACACTTAATGGGGGCTTTAACCTTGTCCTATTCCATCATATATCAATAAGTTTACTAGGTGGACTTGTTCTTGTTCTTTTAATATCTCTCAGTAGCCAGAGACTTCTGCAGACTGGCTTTTTAAATAAAGTTTATATATATGTATGTATTGTACAACAGTCCAGACCCCTGAGAATGCAATTGCCTATACAATATACTGAAAATTAATAATCTAATTCAAATACATTATGTAAATCTGGGAGGGATGTAAAGGGAAACGTTTTTTTTTTTTTTTGTTTTTTTTTTTTTTTTTTTTTTTTTTCAAAGGAAACAGAAAACACTAATTTATTTTTAAAGATGCAAAATAGGACTGTGCAATGTATTTTTGTAAAGGCTTTTCAAGGTATTTGTTTTTCAGTAAGTGTTTTTGCTTGCTTCATATTGACAAGATTATTGATATGTTTTAAATAAAGAGTTTACTTTTTGAGTGCATGTAAAATTTGAAAAGGTCAATAAAAAGAGTACTACTTTTCTGTATTAGTTGGCATCCTTTTTAACAGCGCTGAAAATGGTAATTGCACAGGACAATTAAATTTCTGTGAAAAAGTCTGCCTTTATCTAATCATGTGATTTTAAAATTTATGCGGACTCTGTAAAGAATAGTTATTGGCTAAAATAGGTAGTGAGAATATTTCCAATGTATAAATGATCCTGTCACAAAAAAAATGAATTAAAATTTTCCAGGAGTGTCGCTCCTCAGGTCCCCAGCTGTGATCAGTTTGTTTCTGCAGCTGACCCTTACATTGCGTCTAGACACAGTAGTGTTGGTAGAGGTCAGTATGGGACACAGGAGATTAACAACTACCGAAATATCAGTTTCTGAAATGCCTAAAGTCAGAAATTCTTCTTCATCATAGTGGTGTACGACGCCGTGGACAGCTGAACAGGTATTTACTATTATCTTTACAGGTAATGTGCATTTCCACTTATTATATCAAGTACACAAGTAAGGGCTCTTTTGCACATCTGTTAAGTCTGGATCTGTTCGGCAAGTTTTTCAGACAGATCCAGACTGAACCACAATGTATGTCTATAGGCGGGTGGATGTAAACTGAGGTTTTTAAACAAAAACTGTTTTTATCCTAATTGTTCACATGACACGGGCATAGTATTCATATACCCTGGGTTAGAGGCTCGTACCTTCAAGTGACTGGACACTGGCAAAGCTTTTGAGGACATGACTCCCTGGGGCGCATTCCCTATAACCTTGCCTCATTCCAGGAATCCTGTTTTTTGCCAAGGTGGTGAACCTTCTCTCCCTTGGGGAGAAATTGCCCTTAGCTTTATTGTATCTTCAACTCTTCACCGTCTTCTATATGCAGATCAGTGCAACCTCCTTTAAAACCTTGTGAACTGTAATGTTTCTTCTGGCACTGGACCCTGCAAGGACACTCACTTTGGCACTTAACGTGAAATGATTTAGTGAGCTGCACGGTGTTAATACAGGTTCAGGACTATGGTCCATTTCTGTGGAACCCAGACCCTGAAAACCCCTTCTTAGAGAGAAAAATAAATGTTTTCAGATAAAATATATATATTTTGGGTTCAGGCGTTCCAATCACCTCCATGACCACTGGTGTATAAAAGCAAGCACCTAGGTATGCAGACTGCTTCACAAACATTTGTAAAAGAATCGGTCACTGTGTAAAGCACACAGTGTGCATAAGTTGACAACTGTCTGCAGGGTCAATAGATAAAGACCTCCAAACTCTGTGTGGCCTTCAGATTAGCACAATAGTGCGTAGAGAGCTTCATGAAATGTGTTTCCATGACCAACCAGCTGCATCCAAGCCTTACATTACCAAGTGCAATTGAAAGTGTCGGATGCAGTGGTGTAAAGCACGCTGCCACTGGCCTCTAGAGTGAGTGTATGTATATATGTGTGTCTATATATACACACACAGAGCGACTTATAGTGGGACTGCGGCAGGCATTCTGACACTAGGGGTAACTGACATCCCCTGTGACACCAATACAGTAATAAGTGCTAATGGGTTAACATCTGGGGTGATCAAAGGGTTAACTGTACTTGTTCACTATGTGGGCTGTGTGTGCACTTCACTGTAAGCACACTGCTTTGTATGGCTCTGCTACCTGGAACTGCAAAAATCACATATATAAACGTGATTTTGTTCACCCATGCTGCCCTGTAGCAGTATTTCTGCTATAGTGTGGCATGGAAGCGGTTAATATTACTAAATCTTTGTACCTTCGAAAGGTCCCACGTGGTAAGATGAGCTTTAAATTCCTGATCACCCAATGGAGGACATAAAGCAGTGCAATCAAATCAAAGTTCCCATGGAGGGGGCTTTGAAGAATTTCCAAAATTAGATCAATATCTGAAATAACGAATAT